CAAAGCGACTCTGGGTGGCGTACAGCAATTAAATAAAATAACAGATAGATACAAACAATCATCATAAAAAGATAAAAAATGATTATTAAAATGAAAACATCATCAAATTTTTAGAGTATGCAACCCCCACAGAGAGAGCAAAATATCAATCATAGTGGAACCATCTAAGAATTCTTCAACATCAAGATTTACTTTCCATAGAAGTAAATCAGTTATGGAATTCAACTTTGTGCCACATCTGAAAGTTGGGTTTTCTTATCTGCGGAACGATTTATATCTTTTACTGTTGATCTAACATGCTGCTTGCTGTTTATAGCTTTGTTAGTGATGAGCTGCATTAAGCAAGTATGTTCAATTTAATGTCCAGGAATGCTAATTACCTGTACCTTGTCTTTCGTTTTCTTCTAAGTTCTCTATACTTCTTAACTGTATTCCTTTCATTTAGGCGCTCTCAAAACATTAAATAAAATATATAAAGGAAGACAGAACACTCATAAATAAAATAATAGGAAGACATAAAAAACCAAAAACATAGGAACGCATAAGCGCAGGGGAAAAAACCCTCATCCAGCGGGTCATACCGCTCCCAGATCCAACCCCTGAAGAAAAATCCAGGGTTTTAATGCCTTCCGAAAGGCGGTCAGGGCCAGCCAGATCTTCAGCATCCAATCACTATTCCCGTATTGTGGCAGTGTAAAATATGTGGAGAACTTAAGTGACCTTGGGGCCTTGTAAACAGTGAACATGACAACAGCAAAGAAAAGGGAAGGAATCAGAGGCACCTAGAGACAGAAAGATGATGATTCGTAGAATTTTTCACTTTATAGTGACTTTAGAAGTATTCTTGGCTCTTCCACACATCCCTAACTTCATCCACGCATCCCTAACTTCAGCTGAGAGATGCCTTGCTAACCATCCTTGGTCTTCCAATGTCATATTCAGCTCATCCCAGCCCACCACTGAGCCCCCCAACTCATCTTTCTCTGATCTCATGTTGAAGTTATGTTTTCCATCTTCTTCCCACGTAACCTCACTGTACACACGCTTTGTGGTGCTTCGGCAGTGTCCATGGGGATGATGTGGCAAGGACTGGGACATGCCCAGCTTTTAGTTGCTGCGGGCATGCCCCTTCCCTCCTGTTGATGGAGATGTTCTTCCATATGTGTTTTGGCAAGCAGCTGATGCGCAGGGACAGCTAGGCTTAGCATTGCCAGCCCTTCGAGGCAGGCCAGGTCAGGAAGCAGTCACCACAAGAAATACTAGACCTCCCCTTTATTGATCTAGGCCAGTGTTTCTCAACCCTGGCAACTTGAAGATGTGTGGACTTCAATTCCCAGAATTCCCCAGCCAGCTGGGGAAGTGTGGAATTCTGAGAGTTGAAGTCCACACTTCTTCAAGTTGCCGAGGTTGAGAAACACTGGCCTAGGCTATAAGAGCAAAATCTTGAAAGCCTGATAGTGTTTCTCTTATTCCCAAGAGAATCAGGGCAAGCCGAACTTGAGTTTCTTCCTCCCTCACTCCTCTCTTTCCGGGTTAAGCTGATCTTTCCGTAAGGGCTGCCTCATATTTTCTCCAAGGCCATCTCTGTACTCCTCTACTGACCTGGGTTCTTGTTAGCCCTTCAAGTTAGTCCAGTGAAGAAGCTCAACAATGAGTACCAACTCTACTTTTATTGTAAGGTTACATTAACAGAATCTTGCAAGTCCGGACGTATTTCTCCCTTCCTTTCCTTTTACTCTCTGGAAAACTCAGGAGGGTCCCTTTTGAGATGCTTCCCATGCCCCTTTTCCTTCTGTGGGCTGAGATACCTTTTACATGCTGGTTGTCCAGCGTGTGGCTCTCCTTCCTGTCTCCCAAAGCCATTCCCACATATCTTTACAGTTCCTGATCGACACGGGTAGTGAAATGCCCCGACTGACAGGCAATTCAGAACCACCCAGAGTCACTTTTTCGTGAGATGGGTGGTATCTAAATTCGAAATATAAATACATACATACATACATACTGTACATACATAAATAAATAAATAAATTCACATGCTGCAGCAGTGCTGGATGAAGTGGGGGAATCCTTTCACCAGTGCCTGTGATCAGCACCCCCTCCAGCAGTTGTTTTTAGACAGGGAGGGGCAGACAGTCCGTCCCACCCCACGGGTCCGGTTCTGTCTCTCTGCTGTCAATGCTCAGTTCTTCCCCCCAGTTCCACCCCTCCTCCTCATTAGGAAATGCAATTGGTGGATGTTTTTCCCGCGGGCAGGTAATCTACCAATCGCATTCCTTATCTTGTTCCACACTAAAGCTGTCAGGTCAGCACTACTCCCTGCCCCGTTACAAGGCAGCATCGAAGTTGGCATCAGGACAGACCATACTATGCTGGCATACTTCTGTGCCATCTCACAGACTGGAGGAAAGCGTGCTAACCCAGCTTTCTGATGTGCCCTCAATTGCTCACTTTCGCCCTTGGCTGCTGTTAAGAGGTAGCACTGGGGTGACCGATGAGTAAAATTTTTTTACACAAATCTTTTTTTCTGTAAACCCAGATTTAATGGAGCTCCACCACTTCCCCTGCCTAAAATCAGAAAGATTTGACTGTATCAGGGTTTGGATTAGTTGCCAGGGAGGCTACAGATAAAGCGAGAGATTGAGAGTGGATCTCCTGAAACAGTTGAGGCAGGAGGTCTTGGTCAAATGGGATGTGTTCAGGAACCTTCCATATTTGGGCTAATTCCATACCCCACCTCTTCCCCTAGATTTTTCCAGGGCCTTCCCTGTAATTGGATATCTTCAGACACTGTGCGGGCAGTTCATTACATTTTTGGTTGGCTTCCAAGAACCACCGAGGTTGTGGCTGAGATGATGGATGATCTTGGAAGGCAAGATTTGGAGTTCCCCCCTCTTTTTTCTAAGTTGATTTCTTTTTAAAATGTGTCTGCTGAGCTTCAGAACCAAGCTTACCTTGTAAAATAGGTGTGTTAAACCTGTTGGAGGCTTAATGCAGCTGTTATATCTTGAGAAAGGTCAGAGGGGAAATGGCTTAGTTGATTTCTGGCACCTTGATCTTGGGTGTCTTCAGAAAGAGATTTGGGGAACAAGCTATGGGTTGTCTGACTTGTTTTAGGGGAAGTCTCCGATAGTTTATTTTGCTTGCTTGCTTTATACCTCCCCTTTCTGTTTAGGAGCTCAAGACAGCTTTGTAGTGCTCCCTCCTCCCATTTCCCCCCATAACCACAATCCTGTAAGGTAGGTTGGGTGAGAGAGGTTGGGCGAAAGTCACCCAAGACACTTCTGTTTCTGAGAGTGGACTTCACTCTGGTTCCTCCAGCACCTTCACTGCTCTACCGTGCTGGCTCTCTTTCTTTCCTGAACTATCAATATTTATATACAGCATCATCACACACTCTTTGATAAGATCTTAAAGAAACTTGGTAAGGTGAAGAAAAAGCACTATTTTCCTGCCTTTCAATAGCAGATTTATATGGAGCAGGATTGGATCTAAACAGTCTCAACCCAATTACAGGAAACTTCATCTAAATTTCTATACCAGTGGTGTTTAACACGTATAAAGGCTGCATCAGATATTGCCTGTTTTTTCCCATATGGGTGTCTACATGTTATCATTGACATATAAACCCTTGCTTGCTGGGGACAATACATTTTTGTAGAACCTATTACATGCAGCTGTTCTGGAAATTGCCATTTCTTGGCACTTCAGCCCTAAATTTTTCTCATGACAGAAGTGGTTGGGGGAAATTTGAAAAATCTGGCCTTACAGAACAGCCTGTGGCAAATATTATTTTGTTCCTTATTTCATTATGGTCAAAGACCAGCAAATTAAAACATTAACATACCAACAAATACAAGAGGAGCAGTAGTGATTCATTCAGGACAAACACATCTTAAATAGTATAACAGGAACTGTTTCCTTTAAACATTTCAAAAGGATGCTTGTGAAAGGAAACTTCAAGGACCAAAACAATCTAAGGATTCTTTTAATAATTCCATCATCTTGATCTGAGAGCAGAAGTATTTATATGCTGTTCTTCAGAGATCCTTTGTATTTCTGAGAATTTCTTGATGAAAGGGGCCTTGCAAGAACTTACGAGCAACTGTCTCAGTGATGTTGGATTCATCCTAAAATGAACTAATTTTGTTCCTTTAATTTGTTTCCATTTTATAATTGTTGATTCATATCGCTGTGCCTCAGCTTTTCGCTCTGCCTACCTAATCTGGTGTACATGTGTATGCATGGGCACGTTCAGCTCCCAGATATACTATAGACAGTCCCTTTGTTTTCATCCAGGAGAAGTGAAAGGAGTGTAATTAAATGCAGGTAGTACTCGACTTATGTCCACAATTGGGACTGGAACTTTCATCGCTAAGTGATTCAGTCATTAAGTGAGTCACACACGATTTTACTACCTTTTTTTGTTGCGGTCGGTAAGCAAATCATGTGGTTGTTAAGCAAATCCAGCTTCCCCCATTGACTTTGCTTGTCAGAAGCCCCCTGGGAAGGTTGCAAATGGCAATCACATGACTGCAGGGATGCTGTGACCATCATAAGTGTGAGGACGGGTCATTAGTCACTTTTTTCAGTGCCAGCATAACTTCAAATAATTAAACGAATGGTCGTAAGTTGGGGACTACCTGTGCTGCAGGTGGGTTGTTCCAAGCTCACAATCCATTAGAGTCCGTTAAAGTTGGGTAGCTTATAAATTCAAATAAATAAATAAATAAAAATAAAAATTAGTGGCAGTGCCAGAGTTCAGCCTTCCCCAACTTGGTGCCTTTAAGATGATATGAACTCCAACTACCATCTGTTGCCAGCACAGCCATAACTGGGGCTGTGTAATATCTCTGAAAAATGCTAGGGAGAGTCGGTCTGGTTTTATAGATCCTATCACTTGCTTGCCTTTTTGCTTCGGAAATATCTCAGAGACACGCGATCCTCGTGTTGCCGTAATGAGCAACGGGTAATGCTGTCTTTTCTCCCTACCCTTCCAGGATTCTGCATACCTCAATGAACTCTCCAGCAACTCCCTCTTCTCCTCTCCTGCGGACTCCCTCTCGGATATTGCCGATGCTCAGGAATTCCTGCCTGCTGACAGTCTCAGCCAGGTGCCAACCATATGGGACGTCAACGTCAGTGTGCCACCGCAGAACCAAATAGAGGTCAGCCTCAATCTCTCTCTCTCTCTCTTTCTCTGTCTCTCTGCCCAGTCTTCTGATTCTCCCCCTTGGCTTTTTAATGTGTACAATTACAATAAGTGTGCTCTAATACGATATAATTCAGGGTACCCTTAGGCTTGAAAGAAAGAATCATAGAGTTGGAAGGGAGCTGGGGGGTCTTCTACTCCAACCCCCTGCCCAGGGCAGGAATCCTCAGACCATCTTGAAGGAATGGCTGACCATTTTTTCTGGAACACCTCCAGGGATCAAGCCCCCGTGGCTTCAGGAGGCAGACTGTTCCACTGCTCCACAGCTCTCAGAGTCGGGACATTCCTTCTTATGTGGAGCTCCCTGTGTAAAGCTTCCACCCGTTCTTGAAATCAAATACATTTTCTTTGCACAGATGCTTAACCAATTGCCCCCATTTGATGAGAAGAAAACTCCTTTTTATTCAACTATTAATCCAAGCTTGCCCACACAGTGTTCCTTTAATTTGGGGGGCCTGTCCATGGGCGCTGTGGGGCAATTAGCCAACTGATTGAATGCCACTGGGGAGAATAAGCGTCAACATCTGATTACCTGTAGATTAGAGTTTGTCAGCCTTGAAACACACTAAACTTCCCCTACTCTGCTGTCCAACTTCCTGCTGGTAATTGTGACTCAGACTTCCAGTAATGGAAGAGACTTTTTTAAAGCGTGTGTGTTTTAAAAAAAAAAAAAAAAAGGGAAATAATTATAGTATGTTTGTGCTTTTGGGGTTTATCCAGATTTCACTTCCATTTCAGGAATGCCCTCTCATATGCCCTTTTATAGATAACCTGTATCTGGCTATAAAGTGCAAGAAGGATTTTGAGAAAGGCTTTTTTGAGTTTTATTCTAGCAATTGCGTGGCTTTTTTTGGGAGGGGGGAGTGTTGCTTCAAACTTAAAAACTACTGTGTGGCTTTGATTACTCAAAGCAGCGATGGATGAATCTGGTTGTCCGTCCCCTTTTCTTGCATCAGCGGTTAGATGCACAAGCTTCCTCTTAAATGTGAGTGCTCACTGTCCAGTTAAGTAGTGATGAAGAAGGAGGAAGACTTGTGACGTGGGAGCTGCATTTCTTTCTTTGTAATTTTCTGAAAATCATGTTCTTAGTCAAACGTAATTAACAAACAAAAGAGATAATACTTCCATGATAGTACAGTAAGAATCTACACACATTACAGTGATGAGAATAAACTAAATATAAGGGGACAAAGAGCTTACGAAAAGAAAAAAAAATAAGATCCATGTGATATCAATATAACATGTATTCAATCCTTAAACTTATTATTAAATCTAGATCATACAGAAATATATTATTCCATCCTCTCATTTTTAAAATATCAAGGCATTTTAGACATTAATAAGAAACACATCTCTTGGATCCCTTCCTTGATATCAGGAGTATAAATTTCCTTCGGTCTATGTAAAATAATTCTTTTTGCCGAGCCTCAAGCTTGATAAAGCCAGGTTTTTTTTTTTTCAAATTCCATTGTGTCGTATTCCATAATTAGGGAGTATAGTTCAACATCCCATGTACATCTTCAACTGCTGTCTTTGACTACTGTACTATTTTTCCCCAGACATACGTTAACGTGCAGTATATATAACACGAATAGAGAGCAGTGAAGTGAACAAATGAACCAGAGAGCTTTCAAACTTCTTCCAGTGCCAACATGTGAAATCCCATACCAGAGATGCATAAAAATAAGATAATTCCTGTTTTCTGGAATAAACGAATAACATTTTGTTTAATTATTTATCAAATGTATAGAGCCACCCATCTCACAAATGTGACTCTGGGCAGCGTACAGTAAAACAAACCAAACAGTCTTAAATAACCATTACAAACAATTTAACATAAATATAAACAAGACTACGGGAGAATACGTCAGAGTCTCACACATAGCACAACTTAACATGCAATGCAAGAGGAAAAATGGACGGGGAGAGAAGAGGAAGGGAAAGAGCAGATTTGGGGCAGCAATTCTTTCTCCTGTTGATGGGTAGGGAGAGGTGGTCTTCCCCTTTGGTATTCTTGATATTCTCATGTCCTTTGACGTTCCCTTTGGTCAAGTGCTGTGGGTGAAGATGATGTGCGCTCTCTGCAGCGTAGCTATCCCAGGACTGTTGGCATTTGGCGCTTGAGTGCTCATCGTGACTGGACAGGGCACAGGAAAGCAAGTCACCCTACCTTGGCTCCCACCTGGCTGATGGATGGGGCTCAGTTGATCACCCTTTGTCAGAATGATCTTCCTGGAAGGCGGGGAATAAAATCACCCTAATTTCTCGACTGGAACCAGCAACCAGCCTATATCTCCCTTCTGCTCAAGGCAATCAAAAATCAAGGGCAAAATCTGTAGGTGTGCATATAGCTTTCCAGCAAAAAAAGAGAGAGAGAGAGGGATGTCTTCCATCGCGTTGGATCACTAGTTCATTTAGCCCACTGCTGTGATGCTATCTTGGGAATTCACCTAGGAGTTTTTTGACCCCTGCCTAAGGATTCCAGGGGTTCACCCTGAGCCTCTCTGCCACCAGAGCAGCTACAGCCCCTCCAAATATCCAACTGGAATAAAATTAATCATAAAAGTGGCAGTGAAAAAGAAAGTAAAGGCATGTAAGAAGATCCCACTTCTCAGTCTAGTCCACAGCCCTGGAATTCTCTGGTGTTCTCCCATCCACCGATTAACCCGGTCCTGTGCTGCTTAGCTTCTGTGCCCCAACAAGGTTGGCTATGCTTGCTTTTAACAGGGTTCTCATTTCCATGTCTCCCCTTCCTTTTCTTTTCAGGTCTTGCCTCCTGATTTGGAAGGTCTGGAAGGCTTACAGGGAATAGAAAACCACATCACTGCCACTCAGGACATCTCTCGTCTTTCAAGCATCCAGGTAAAGAAGGCAGACATTCTCCTCCTCTTCCTCCTCCTCCTCCTGCAGATAGATAGATAGTCAGTCAGTCAGTCAGTCAGTCAGTCAGTCAGTCAGTCAGTCAGTCAGTCAGTCACCTCTTGCCACCTATTTTCCCCACAACAACAACCCTGTGAGGTGGGTTGGGCTGAGAGAGGGGAACTGTCACCCAGCTGGCTTTCATGCCTAACGGAGGACTAGAACTCACAGTCTCCCGGTCTT